TGCTACTGTAAATTTGTACTTTAGTGTAATTGTAGCCAGCTGTGCATCTCACTGCCTTTCCCTGAGGGATACAGGAAGCAATTCATGAGTTTACCCACTAAATATGATGAACAGCAAGGTGTAGACATTAGTGCAAAAGTGGAAAAATGGGATTTTTACCCATGTTATGCACCATCTAACTGGATTTGTGTGTGTTTACCCAAGCATCACAGAGGGTCCAATAGACCCACACCAGAATTTGTTTTTTAAAAAGTTTTTATTTTTCTGGTAGAAGTAGCCTAATTAAGTATAATGACACAAGAAAAAACAGATCTGCAAATTTTGGAGGCAGTCAAAAGTGAATCATCAGGTTACTCATATGTCATGGCTTATGTTGGTGGCCCCCAGGCCTTATGGACTTGCATTGTGTGTGATTGGTTCATTGTCTAGAGCTTGGATTGATGGTGTCAGTGCTACACTCACCTAGGGGTGGAGGCAGTACACAATGTAATGGCAGGAAGAAGGTGTATCTCTCTTGAAGGTTTCTGCCTTGCTGTTTGCAGCTGGCATGAACTGCGACCCTGCCATGCCACCCTGCCTTGGAGCCAACTGAGTATGGACTGAAACCTCAAAAACTGTAAGAAATAAACCTTTCCTTACCCAACTTTGGGCATTAGGTATTTTGTCTCAGCAGTGAGTAAAAAGTAACTAAAAACACCATGCATGGAGGATAAAGATGACCCATTATAGTAAAATACATGTTTTCATCAGAGAAGAATGGTGTGGGGGAATGATGATGGCGATAACTTTGACACTGACTGACACAGATGCAGGGAATACAGACCTCCTTCATTCAGAAACAAAGAAAACATCAATGTGAGTACAGATTTGATTAGTCAAAATCTTACAAAATGATCATACAACCAAATGGAACAATATGATGTTAGGACTAGGTCCAAAAATATATCTTTTTGTGTCTTTGCAGGGGTGAAGGGTATTGGACAAAATGCCAATATGTCATTCAATGTTGGCAATTGTCACATGTTTCCCTATCTAAAGATACTCCACCTTATTTATTTTTACTAAGTGGGATATTTGTTCTGCCAGTTTCCTTATTCGTGGAGCTTTGGTTTAACTTCCCTTTCTCTTCGCTGGCAAGGCCTAATTTTACCACCGTATTAGTATTCACTAGACATCATAGATTCGGCAGCGGTGTACCCTGCATCCAGCCTTTCTATTCTTTTTCTTTTCAGTACCAGTTTCATTCATATTCACATTACCTGCAATATAAAATAGTTATTACAAAAGTAAGTTGCTAAATTCTATGATGGGCCAAATTAGGCTATCATTGTTTCATAAAATATTCACAATACCCTTTAATTCTCCAAGCCAAAATTCATTGTTCTTTATTTAAAGGTACTTAGTAAATCGGTCGTAGCTATGTGGTACTGTGCAGGAGACAAAGGTTCCAAAGACCATTTATTCCTTCATAGACTATTTTAAGTATCTACTTTTTGCTACACAAGAGCAGATTTTGTTAATTCAGCACTGAATAAAAACAAAGTCAAAAAAATTTCTGCTCACATGAAATTTACAGTTTAGTGGTTATATCTTAGTTTGAATCCTGGATTTATCTTACTTAGGTTTGTGAGCTTAGACAAGTTACTTCACCTTTCTGAATCTCTGATTCTTAATCAGAATAAAAGTATGAGAAAAGGAGGGATACAATGCACAACATGCAGGACTTCCCCTCTCCTTAGAAACTAAGAAAAAAAAGATATTATTACTGTGTCAAATTTGTGGTTCATGTTCAGTGGACAAGAGGGTAGAAAGCTTTCTATTCATCTCCATAGCACCAGGAGTGCCTGTACCATCTAGGAAGGTCTTTGCCTCTGCTCAGGTAAGAAGCATGCCTCTCTGATACAGCTTCTGGGGCAGTATAGCTGCTTATTCCTAAATACACCTCGAGCTACAGAAGTATGCAAGGCAATTTCAATCTAGTGCAGATTCTCCACCAGAGCATCTCTATCAGAACCTTTTGTTCAGTGCTTTCTTGAGCAAGAGAAGGCTGAAAGTACCATTCACACCTTCCATTTCCAATAGGTTCACATGTTAAAGGTTCTTACGTATTTTCTGGATTTTCTGATATTCAAAGGTAGCTTTGTATCTCTTTCTCAACTATGTCAACTGCACTGCCTCCTGCACTGTGCTAAAACCACCTACTCTGTCCATCGCTCCTAGTGTAATATTGCCCAAGGATTGCAAATATACCCCTAGACTCATAATTATTTAAAATATTCTTTATGCATAGGATAATCAACACAGAATATAATGAACTATGATTTACCTCTTTGCTTCAAGCACTGTATGGTTGAAATAATCCTAAATGTCATGTCACCTGAGCTGGTTTGCTATTATGAAAGTTTTGGCTCCTTGAGGATATCTCTCATCATTAATACCCATAGCCTTACTGATAACCCTACAATGTGCTGACCTGAGGAGAAAACAGGTGAACAGACACCCCATGTGAAATTACATGAGTTCTTCAGATTATGTACAGTGCTGTGTGACTAACTGTCACTGGAATTAATCAAAATTGAGCTTCCAACCTTCAGGCCCAGAACCTAAAGCAAAAATTCAAGCTGATGGGGGAACAGTTGCATAGTTACTCAAAAAAAATTACTGACACTACTTCACATGGACAAGTACATAATATTATTATGATGTCACTTGAGACATGAATATTGACTGGCAGATTACAAACACATAAATAGCCTGTGATTTCTAAAAATGTTGACTACTTTCATTTAAATACTGAGTAATTGTTTTACACAAATAGGTTCTATTCAGTTGAAATAAATGTAAATGTTATTAGAAGCCCCGAAGAATTTGTTTTTAAATTTTTAGGAAAATCCAAAATGTCTTAGATATCCACATTTTAACCAAACACAAACATTTACTTCAATCTAAAAGAGAAAATAAATATTATCGTGTGACATATTATCAGTTTAGGAAAGATGAAATAACATAACTGATGGCTTTATGTATAGTTAACATGTATAAAAATATTCCAAAAGGATCAAGAAATTCATTCTAAACAAAATTATATATTGTAAATTACCAAAACAGAGGGCATTAAAAGATGTATAGGAAGAAGAAAGTACTTATCCTTCATGTCTTGACTATCTTTATTATTATTACAGTTGCTACAGTAGTAAAACAAGTTTCAGAATTCAATAAATAACTAGAAAGTTAAAAGTACAGAAAAGTTAAAATTCTTGAATTTTGGAATTGCTCTGTACTCTAATGAGAAATCAGAATCTAAAATAAAAACAATAATAATTATAATGTTTACAAAGGTTTTGAATATTTTAATATTCCTGTGTCTCTGCTTGAAGCACATGAAATTAAAATGATATAGTCACGATTTGTTTCTTGACTACTTTATATACAGTAATTTTTAATGAAGCAACTAAATTAGGCATAACTTGGTACAGCTTTAATGTAGTTATGATGAATATATTTTACTTGATTAAAAATGATAAAACCAGGGAGCCTTAAATATTATCTTAAAAGATTAACTACTGTGTCAATTACAAATCTAGGAGGAAGATATTTATAAAGGAATAACTATTCTGAATTCCTTTTGTTCATTTCATTTAATTAATAACTCAATCTACTTTCACTCTTAATACCAAAAATTTCTTAAATTATATGTTGGCTTGCAAACAAAGGACATACAGCAGTGTCAGTTGAACACTGATGACAATTTGTTAAGTATCTTTTATTTAGTAGGAGGAGGGAAATTTGGCAGTGTAGATGACCTAATAAACTACATAGATCACTGAGTTTACAATGTATTTTGTGTTGCATGACAAAACACATGTAAATAATGGTGAAGATCTAATTATCTGAGTACCTAAGTAATGATCAGGTCTGCTTTGCCAACAGGTATCTGATAAATACATGTGTCGGTACCCTGAGACTGAAGAAATTCAGCAAACATTTTCGCCTGTCTGTCTTTTAGGGTGACCAGTTAACCTGAGTATTTAAGAAAGTCCCCACTATAAGGAAGAAAGCAGATGCAGTCATGTATTTGGTGGGTTATTTGCCCACAGAGAGGGAAAACCTTGCAAAGGGACAGTATTATGTCTATGTGTTAGTTTTAACAAAATACAAATAAATAAGTACAGATAACAAATTGCACCTTAATATGAATAACTTCACCTGGCTTTCATTGTAACTTCTTTTAAGTAGGTGAATGTAGTCATGAACAACTAAAATCAACTGTTTTCCCACTCCTAAACCCTTGTACCAGCTAAAGAGCTCAAAAAGCATCACTAGGATGGCCACGCTGCCAGTTTAGACTTTACCTGCTATCCTGGAGCCCATCTTCAGGAGACTCTCCAAAAATCACTTTTGTTGACAAAAGAGCACACGCGCGCGAGCACACACATGCACACACGCACACAGGCACACACAGGCAAGCTCCGGGCCTTTTTTTAAAAATGAGAGACAGAAGGCATCTGAAAGATGTTTTTAAAGCAATTGGGAATGCACTACAGTTTTGCTGAAAGAGAGGGAAGTGGTTTGGTACTCTTGTGTCACTAAAACCGAGGGGTCCCGCTGTACGCGGTCCCCGACCCTGCATGCCTCTTCCTCGGAGCTGCGGACTCGGCAACGAGCTGCCCGGTGCGCGCAGGGCCACAGGCGTCGCCAGAGAGGGACAGAACGCGGGCCCCGGGGACGCCGGCGGTTCGGTGCCTCTGGAGGAACTGGCCTGCGCGCAGTCACCACCGCAAGTCACCTGCAGACGTGCCGCTTCTCCCCTCGGTACTTCCGCCCGGCCTGCAGAGCCTCCAGTCCTCGGGGCCGCTGCCGCTGCGCTGCCGGGTCCCCAGCCCCACCCCGCTTCCTACTGCCACGCCCCGGACACGCCCCCTGCCACGCCCCCAGAGCGCTGCCGGGCGCTGATTGCGGCGGCGCTGACAGGAGGCGGGGCCTGAAGTCTGCACGGAACCCAGCCGGGCGTATAAGCCCCTTCTCGGCTCCTTCTCTCCATCTCTCTCCTCTTTCTCTCTCGCTCCCTTCCTCTCTGTAACTGAACAGTGAAAATTACCATCGTGGATCCGCTAACAGGCACAGATGTCATGTGAAAACGCACATGCTCTGCCATCCACGCCGCCTTTCTTTCTTTTCTGTTTCCTCCCGCCCCCCATTGCTCCTTCTCCCTCTTCTTTGTAACTAACAAAACCACCACCAACTCCTCCTCCTGCTGCTGCCCTTCCTCCTCCTCCTCAGTCCAAGTGATCACAAAAGAAATCTTCTGAGCCCGGAGGCGGTGACATTTTTAAAAAGCAAGCACACTGGAGAGAAAGAAAAAAAGCAAAACAAAACCCAGGCATCAGCCGCTCAGGACATTTTTTTTCACCCTTTCTGAAAGCAAACAAACAAACCAACAGCCATCAAAACAGTCACCGCCGCCACCGGCAAAGCCGAGCCCGGAGGCGGCGGCCCCGGTCAGCCCGCGGCCGCGGAGTGCGCCCGGAGGGATGGTGCTCGCGGCGCGGCTGCTGGTCGCCGGCCCCCTTCTGCAAGCGTGCTGAACGGGATTTCTGGGCTCTCTGGGGTTCGGGCTGGCAGCAGCTTCATGACTACGCGGAGCGGGACAGCGGCCACACCATGCGAGGTAAGCGAGCCCGCGGCACCGAGGGTCCCTAGACCTGGCCAACTCTGGCCCCACGGCAGGTGGGGGAGGGGAGGCGCCGCGCGAGACCGCGTGAGCAGGTAGGACTGCGCAGGGCTCGGGCGGAGAAAGTTGTGGGGAAGTGCCGATGCCTCTCGGGAGTTTTTCTGGGACGCGGGACGGTGCTTTTTTTTTTTTTTTTTTTTTTTTTTAGAAAGGGCAGCGGTGCTACTCGCTTGCTCCCAGTTCTTCAGTTGCCCCAGTGTTTCGTGCGGAGCTCTCTCTCGGGCGCAGAAGAGGGCGCGGGCTGCAGAAGCACAGGGTAGCGGACCCGGGGCACGGGCAGCGGGCAGCGCCGGGCGCGCAGTGGCCACCAGCGGAGGCTGGGCGTGCGGAGCGCAGGGCAGACGCGCCAGTGCGCGCGCACTTGCCGGGGTGCCGGGCCTGGAAAGCCCCAGCCCGATGCGCGTTCCTTCGCGGGAGTACCCCATCAGGGTCCCGGGACCGGTCGGGGACTGAGAACCAGCTTCGGAGCTCTCCTTTGCGTCGGCTCTGCGCCGTGGCCCGGCCGGCGTTGCCTGCGTCCTCGCAGCCCAGGGATCAGCGCTACCCATAAAAAAAGTTGTACGAAAAAGTTTCGAAGACTAGAAGCCGCGCCCCGTGCGTCGGCTCAGGAATTAGGGGCTCTTGCCCTCTTGTTACATAAAGGGGAGTGCTAGAGGCAACGCTAGGTGCGCCCCAGAACCTGGACTGCAGCGGCAAATAGGCGGCTGCGGGACGGCGCGCTGCGCTGGGAACGGAGTCGAAACACCTGCGGTGACTGAGCTGGTTAAGGACTCTGCGGAGTCATTTTATCTGTCTGCTTCCCTTTGACGCAAGAACCTAGGTTTCCTGCGCTCTATACCGGGATCCCCACACCCTCACTTTCCAGTTGGTCACAACTTCACTGTTTTCTTGAAAAGACCGCCGGATCTCCGTTTGATTTAAGGACCTGAGCACCCCTGAGGACCCTTACCTTTTGGTCTCTGTACCCAGCCACCCTGCGTTCTTTGGGGTTTCTTTTCTCCCCTACTCACAGCCTTTCTGGCAACAGAAAGTTAGGATCGATCAGCTCCAGACCTTTCTACATCCTCAGTCTTGGAAAGAAATAATCTAGGCAGGAAGCACGGGAGAGAACCCGGCTGCAAACACTCGCCTTCCCACGGGCTGCGTTCCTCTTCCACCACTCCTCCTATAGCTCGGAGAAGCGCCCCAAGAGACAACAAGCCTTACCCTCATCCCTGCGCCCCGCAGGCTCTGGGTGAGCCCTGAGCGTGGCCTCCGAGGCACAGAATGCGTTAGCCGCCTTGGATCTTGGGACGTACCAGGAAACAGAAGGTGGTAGAGGGACAGACAGACGGAAAGAAGCTGCCCAGGAATGCTAGGGGACACGCATAAATTAGAGACAAGGATGTACTGGTGGGACAGTCTTGATTAACCCATGCATAGGATTGAGGGATCAGAGCGTACTCCGTGGCTCCAGTTGGTTGTCCAGGTTGGGGCTTTAGTAATGCGTCCCCGTAAACAGATTCCTGTTAGAAACTGTACTGGGGCAATTGGCGAGAAAGTACTTTTATTTAGTGAAAGCCTCCCCGTCTTGGATTTTTTTCTGCCCTACCTCATCATTCAACCCACTTTCCTCGGGTTTCCTCTGCTCCTGTTTGAAGCTGCCAGCTGATCCTTCCCTTTTTCCTCTTCTCCGGGCTGCACTCCGGTGGCTGGGTTAGCACTTTTCTAAAGACCCAAAACCACGTGCCGCAGCAGTTCATAGCGGGCACTAGGACCTGCGGCACAAAAGCTGCCGGCTCCCTCCTCACACTGTGGAGCAGGCAGGGGCCCAGAGTGGACCATACTTGCATCACTAAGCTCCTGCAGGAGCTGTCTGCCGAGAACACTCGAGTTCCTTGCAGCGGTGCTTGTGGACCCAAGAGCTTGAGGAGGTGAAAGCCACCTTGAGAAACCCAGTGGGAGCCCACAACCTTGTCCCAGAAGTCACTGGCTTCAGCAGGCCCCCAGAGGCCTTGCAAGTTCTACTTGGGACAGAGGCAGCCTGGGGACCCTTGATGGACCAGCAGTGAGGAGCCAAGTCCCTTTCTTACGTTCCTGGGCCTCTTCTTTTGGCCTTTCACTGTCTCCCTGCTGACCTTCGAATACCTTGGGGACAATGCCTGGCTGGCCATCAGGAGCTGTTCCTTAGCGACAGAATAAGAAAAGACACAGACTACTCAGAAGCTTGGGAGAGTTGGAGTTGCACTTGAATGTGAACTTGAGAGATGAGAGAGAGCAGGAAATGAATCTACTTTTTGTGCTGGGCTACCAAGCAAAGTATATTTGGGGAGGGGCGGGTTTTGAACTTGGCTTTGGCCCCCACCCACCCCCCCTTCCTCTTCCCCTTCCTCTTCCTCTTCCTCTTCCCCTTCCCAGGGTTCCCATTCCCAGGTGATCCCATCAGTGCCTTGGTCCAGTTTGCAGCTGGCAAACTGTTTGGAGCCAAGGGCACTTTGTGCAAAGGAAGTGGTCTGGAATTGAGCGATTCCCCCACCGCTCTCCCCGTGGGTGCCAACCACCAAACCCACCCACCCCCAGCCCCTTTTACCCCCACTTTCCCCTCCCTGTTTCACCTATGTATTTAATAGAATTTATTCCCAGGAAACTCTAGGGTAAGAAAAGGGTTAAAAGTCTGTGATCTTTGAGTTCCTTGTCCTCCCTCACAGCTGAACTGAGTGTAGGACACAGAGTGGTGGCCTGGGGCAGAGGAGATTGTATTTGGTGGTGCACAAAGCACTTGAGCCTTTGTCTGCAAAAGGGTACACATGAGTTCTAGAGATGCTTCTTTAGTTGACTGCAATATGGAAGGGATAAACTTCTGATGGCAGAACGCAGGACTTTTAATTGGGTCCATGCATAGCTTAGAAAAAGGACCGAAACCAGGTGTGGGTTTTAAGGCCACCTCCTGACAACTGTGTTGGCTATTTATTGAACAGAGCACCAAAAAGGGTGGATTTTTCAGGCCTGATGCACAGAAAACCCTGCTTCCAAAAACAGGGGCACAGATGTCCTTGCAATCAATAGGTGATTGTCGCTTGGGCGGATTAGAAATCTGGTTTTATGCTTGCTGTAAACAAGGATGAGGCTTGGCCTGTCGAAGCACACTTCATCTGTTATTGACCACTGGGTGATTTTTATTTAGTGTTAAACTTAAGGGTGCAGCATGCTTAGAGAGGCACAGTCTCCCTCAAAAGTACAGAGCTCTCAATGTCCTGTTGGGGAGGGGGGCTTCAATTTTTTTTTTAAATCTCATTCTTTCTTTTATTCTTCTCCACAAATTCCAGTTAAGTATTTCCAGCTAAATATTTCTAACCAACCTGCCGCTCCCATAATTAAAAACCATTGCTGGAAGGACATCATCAGTTGTACATTAATAATGGCTCATCCAGTAATCATCAGTAAACTCTTTATTCCAAGAAAGTAATCATTCCAACAGTCTGAAGAAAAATTCCAAATCTGTGTTTCAAGGATTTTTGAAAAATATATAGCCAGAAAAAATATCTCCATAAATGATTTCATCCAGTGACTCCCTTCTCTCTTCTCCCTTCAAATCCTGGGTTAAAGAAGCAAATGTGGGGACCCAGGCATGCTTGACACTGGGGCGGATATGAGGGCCACCTGCTTTCCCTCTTCTGTATTTTCACAGAATCAGGTATTGAGCCACCAGGATTGGAAATGTGAGGGAGAAAAGAATTAGTAGCAGGCTTCATAAACAATGCATACAATATTAAAACTCCCTTGCTGGGAGTTCAAAACTTAGAGAAGTCCTTGCGTTTTCTAACAACAGCTTTATAGCTCTTGATTCTTAGAGACTCTTTTAAAGATGCTTTCTTGAATCATTATGAACGTGGTTTGCTGATAGTTTAGCATAAGTGACTATTTCATGCTCTTCATCAAATATGAACGTTCCATTTGCCTTATCTTAGAACAATTTGTTAAATTAACAGCACTGGGAGCGGCTATATAGACATGTATTTGGATTTTTAAATTTAAATGTTTTCAAATCATGATTTTACCTCAACAAGCAAGTATCTAGTATTAAAGTTGTTCTTCATGAAAATGACAACCAAATCTTGTAAAAATTATCACCTTTTTACTAAAATTAGCATATGCAGAGTTGCCAGTAGGAGTCTGGAAATAATGCAAGAAGTTTTTCAGCTTAAAAAAATAAGTAAAATGTTTTTCAACTATGACTACATATTTTACAAACTTTTATGCACCTTGTAGAAATAGAAGATGGCCTTCATAACTTCTATACTTTTTGCTACAGTAGTTCTAAGAAATAAAGTGGGGATCTAGATTAATTATGTTTTTTCATTGTGATTAATAATTTAAATAATTAACCTAATTTAAATAAATAAAGTGCACATTGTAACATTCAATTAGTGAAGAATTTTAAATTTTTCTAGTAAAATATTGTTAAAATGTATCTATATCTGTGTGAATAAGATTATATATAAGTGTGTGTGTGTGTGTGTGTGTGTGTGTGTGTGTGTGTGTGTGTGAATAAGAGAATTAATGCTAATGTGAAGGTTCTCAAATTCTGGCCAAATTAAAGGAACATAATGATGTGAATTGATTTAACAATAGTTTTATCACTCTAGTAATATAAAAGGAATCTCTTAGAACAACAATTTCTGTGTTTCTTTCATGAAGACAAAAACCACGTAGTCTTTTAATTACATTGGCATTGAATTAACTGATATAATGTTATAGTGATGTTAAAGCACATAGAAAAGTACATATTTAAAAAGAAATTGTGCTTAATAGTTAATAGAAGTTTCTGATTCCAGATGTAGTCCCACTATCCTACCCACTCTGTTTAAAGGATAGAAAGCAAACATAATAATGAAATGAGTCTTTTGTGATATAATAAATGAAGATCTGTGATAAAATGAGCACTTTACACAAAAGTA